ATATAAAATAGAGCAAAACATTTTTTGAATACATTGCTTGACATAAATTTATTGAAAGTATAATGAATATTTCTCATTTGAATTTATTTTTTTATTTGAATTTTATTTTATTTGAATTTATTTTTGATGTCTTTAAGATGTTGTATCTTTTTGACATAACGTGTCGAATATCGGCAGTTGACCTGGAAAAGGTGCCTGCTTTCGTTCGAGGTATCCGCATCGATTCGTCCAACACCGTGGTTTCGTAGCGAAATTATTGATGCGCCATGCTTGGATTGGCATCGAATGATTTATCGATGTGCGATCGTTTGAGCATAAACTATGATTTTGATTACCATGCTAACGTCACGTCGAACCACCAATCTGTGGCTTGATATTTCGTACATTATAGCAATTGTTAGACATGTTGCCAAAGAGACGAAAGTTAGAACTGTAATTTTCAGAATTATATTTGAAATGAATTTTAATAAAAAATTATTTATTTTTGACTTTTATTATAATGTATATGATATTTTCTCTTTTAATTTCAATGTATTCTCATATTTATCAACGTGTAATATTTAATGTTGAATAAAATTTATATTATTCCATGAAATTTAATATATAATTAAATTCAATATTTGTTAAAGAGTTAATATCTGCCAAGTATTAAATTAACGATAATTCCGTTATTTCGGGAAATTTGAATATCACGGAAATAATTGCTATGAAAATTTATTACGCGCAAAATGTGTTTATCTGTAAAATTTTAAAAATGGGGGGGTAATTATTAAATATGTTTGCAACATTTTTAATTTGTTTATTCAAACAATATATTATTTTTAATTACTAATTGTTACTGTATAATTAGCAGCTATATATTATTATATAATAATAATACAGAGTATCATATTACAGTTGTAATAACCGCATTTGCTCATGCAATGAGAGTTTGCTGACGTTACAAATTCGTGCAAAAGCAGGTAAAGATCTGGTTGGAGCGAAATCAGTTTACATTCCATTAACAACGCGTTCACAGCACAACGCGTAGATTGCTTGCGTTCACATATGTACCATCTGTGTGCCACATGTAATTGCAAATAATCAGCTCACGAACTTTATGTTTGTAGAGTCGTCAGAGCACGAGCGATTTAACTGAACAACATTAAATGAAATGTCACATGACACGAAACTCTATCGATTCGAAACGGCGAATAACAAGAAAAAGGAAGCGGAAAATTACTTGTTAATATATAGTTGTGCTATGGTAAAATTAAAACGACAGATTAACGGCTGGAAAGTAATAATACGTAATTTACGTAAAGATTATTGACTTTGAGAAACATATGTGAAATTGCATAACGACATTGGCTCTATTTATATGGATATAGCCTTGCATAAGATTGTTAATTCATAAATATTCCTATTAAAATTGTGTTACAAGAAATTTATTTTAACTGCGCTTTTATTTCTAATCACGACAAAGAAATATAAATATTTTGACTTTAAGTGTCATTACTTCTTGTTGTGAGGAAGAAGATTACGGATTACTAGTTTGCCTATTGTGCCTTCTGTGCCTCTTCAAGCACGAGGATAACCAGAAGGATCAAAGGGACAGCTGGTAATTATCGAAGAAAGAAAATACACATGCAATGTCGGTAGTTTGTGATCATATCGAGAGTCCTTTGTTATACGATACTAGATCAAAGAAACTGGTATTATCGATATCGAGAGCCTTCAGTGATAGCATTATTATCTCTGAGTAGATACTTCGAAGTACGTTCGTTGCGGTCGTGTTATCGATTCCATGTTTGTGAACCGTTAATGAAACCGTAATTACCAGACAATTCGCTAATTTGTCAATTGACTTTAACAAGCAGAATTAATTGTGAGTGAGTATCGAGTGCAAAAATAGTTAAAATTGTTGGATTTTCTCGCACATATGCTATACTTTCTTCTATATATTTTTCTATTTTTATTATTTAATTTTACAATACTTTAGAAAATAAAATCGAAATCAGTAATTCAGTAATGAATTAATTATTGCAGTTAATTTTAAATTTAATCATAAAAGACAAATTAATTTTTAGAAATTTCATGTTGGAATTCATTTTCATTATTTTTTTTATTTTTCTCCCTAATTTTATATGATCTTGAAAAAACAAGGATATTTTTAAAAATATCCTTGTTTTTTCAAGATCATGGATCTGGATATTTTTATTTTATACCTCTTGTCGAAATAAATTTTTACATTTTTGCATTCTTATAAAATCATAACAAAATTTTTTTATTAAATATATTTAATTTTATATAATTTTTGTTTTTATCTTATAAAAACAGCATTGTACAAATAATAAATCTCTATATCGTTATGAGATTGTCATTATTTTAGAGTGGAATTTTGAATGGATTGCAGTAATTTCCTAAATCCACCAACAATTGCCAGCCTTCATAGCTGTATTCCGGTTGTATGAACGGTTTATTTGCTATCGGACATATCGGCAAACCATCACGTCGACTAATCTCCACACAAAGCGGCAAATTAACTCCCAGTTAATTATTTACGTGATCGAAATAGTGCGACATGTGTAACAGAATTCCGATATAGACATATGCATATTGATACTATTACATATGTTATTAATATCTCAAGTGATTATCCCCAGTATACAGTATTTCTATCGACATGAGAAACAATAAAATTAGCAAAGGCGTATTTCAATCATAAGATATAAATTTTTCTTTAATCAAGCACTATATTATAATCAAAAAATATATCTTTGAATAAAACGTAATTTAGAAATGTATCTTTTTCATGTAACAACTATTGCAATTGCTGACGAATTAATAAAAAATATAGTTGTAAGTTTTAAGACGATCTTACAAAAATCACGTACAAGATTTTAACAGATGCTCTTGTAGTTTATTAAATATTAAAGTATAATTTTGTAGGATTAGGACAGAATTGTTAGCAAAAAAGGAAATAATATTTCAGCACTTTATAGGTGAAAAATTAATTATTGAATTAATGAATTTTTATTGTAATTATAACTCATTTCTTTATTTTTATAACATGCTTTATAAAAATGCCTAATTAATATGACTCATAACTTTTTCACTATTATGTGTATATATAGATGTGTGTTTTTATTTATTATTTGAAAGAATATTTTATACATTGGGAGTATAATACTCTCTTAGAAAGTTTATTTGTTGTACTTTTCTCAATTAAATTATATATTAAATTTAATTATGTTAAATTTATGAATTCTGTGAATGACATCCAAGATATTACGTTAGAAGTGTGGTATAACGCATTATTAGTTTGTCAAATTCATTTGTAACATTTTCAGGTAACATTTTCTCATTTTAATTTCTTAATTGGATAATTTCTTAAATTTTCAATACAGGATTCAAAAAATTTCAAGCAAAAATGGTATCAGCGTTGAGTACGATAACAATCTCAATTAAAATATTTATGCTTTGGCTTTTCTTTTGAAAAATTCAATCAAATGTCAAAAAAATTTTGTCTGTTTTAATAGCTTAACAAAATACTTTTTACATGATAAAGTTCGATAAAAGATTTATATTGTTATCATTACAAATGTGAGAGAGGTATTCATCAAGATGACTGTCTTAAAAATCAATACAAGTCACATTTGCTTATAATAAAATGAAAAGTATTGGTGCAAAGTATGTTGTATTTTTTTTTTCAGTGCGTAGAACGCTAAAGAACGGTCTCTCGGAAGAGGAGAAGAAACACATTGCCGCTTACATCAAGGGCTACTGACTGTGATAATACTCGAAGGCTACGACATGCTCTCACGAAACAAGAGGAAGAAAGAGCGGACGTCGAAGAGACAGAACGATGGAAGCTCGGTGAAAACATTACAATCTCCATCGTAGATCTCGGCTATATTCGGTCCTCCTCTATTTCGAGATTAGACACGACGATCGACTTCGTGATATGTCACCAATGTTCGCTGAATTCGATATTCGCGTAAAGTCCCACGTGCGCTTCGTATGTGCACTTGTTTGATTCGTTAAGATAATAAGTATAAAAAAAAAAAAAATAGAAAAAATAGAAAAAAATACGTTTTGTCATGAATTAGGCAAGTACTAATCGGTGATTTAGGCTTAAGCGAATGATCAAGTGAACAGGTGTTTTAACATGTCATTTGCGTATAAGGAAGAATATTTGGCATGTAGGACTATATAGGGATTTCTTTATAGACAGATTTTTTTTTGTTATATAGGTTTTTTGGTAAACATTTTTCTGTTTTACGAAATTTTCTTTATTCCATGTAGAAAGTTTTGAAATGCCGCTATAGGACTTCATTTTCTTTTCTCTCTTTGAAAGTTATTACGTACATTGTTTACGTATATTATATATTTTACGTATATATTTTTCGGTACTTTCTGGAAGATTCGCTGGAGTCACGACAGGGTCGACTTGATAATTATACGTAACAGCATGTGCCTCGACGAATTTTTATAATCGATCGATTTTTAAGACCGACTACTCGAATAATCAATTCTTCGATTTGTTTACAACGAAGAAACAGCTATTTTTCCATATGAAGTAATTATATTCTAGAACGATACCTGTCGAATAGCAAATATACCGCTATATACTGGACAATATAAAAATAAATTTGTCTAGCAATTTAATTATTTTAATCATCTTATTGCGTTTCGTAGAAACGCATAATCGCAATCATTGTAACTTTCTGTGGAAGTAATTCTTTAAATAAAATGAGAAGCAATTATAAAAATAGATAAGAATGTGTAATTTCTTTCTCTTTTTAAGAATATTTCTTCTTTTCAGAGGAACAACTTACCTGATCCAAAGATTCTTGAATTTGTTAGAACTTGATTTTATATAACATCAAAGGTAAGTTTTGCGATGTCAAGTACATAAATTAATAATAAACAGATATAAAATAATGACTAATTATAAATTAATTATAAATGCAAAATTAATCTCTTTAAGAAAATATTTAGAGATTTTCTCAAATTCCTGAGAGTTTGAGAACTTTATCTATTAGTTCTTTTGCTTGCAAGAAAATTAATTTTAATGTAGTAATTTTTTATTTTTATGTTCTTAAATATTTTAAATAATAAAGCTAATAAAAACGATTAATATTACGGTTAAATATATATAAATATTAATGTTAAAATATAACTTTTTATATAACTTTTCAAAATTATTCAGAAAACATTTTAAATGAAACAAAATATCTGAGAGATTTTGTTATGCATCATATTAATTGCGCAAAATATTAATTGCAAAAAATAGTAAACATGCATATAAAAAAATAGTAAACATGCATATAAAAATGTTTTGATGTATTTATAACGCTGTGAATAAACTTTTAGACAGGGATGCAGAAATTGAAAGAGGTGGTTATATAACAAACTGTGCTCGAGACACACGATTTATTATTAACCATCATCCAACTTTAACAACATACAATATAATGTAGTAATAAAAACGTATCAGTTAAAATGTAATAATGATAGCGACGATGGGGGATGCTCGCGTAAGAGCGACCATATTCATCTCCACTACGCATTCTCGGGATATTTCTTCTTCCTCTTTTTCTTCGTCATCCTCTTCTTGTCTCCTACATAAACATCGCGCGAGCGAGGGATTGTTACGATTAGGGTAGGTTGGTGGAAGCTTTGAGAGTAGGACAGAATGTGTGTGATTTTTAGCACCATACATCGATGCCTTCGAATTATGCTAACATTTATAATCGTGTAGAAAAAACATTCTTTCCGTTACACTTTTCTCTCGTTCTCATCATCACAATCTCTCTCTTTCTCTTTTTATATATTTTTATATAATATATATATAGCGCGCGGAGCACAGCCTCTCATTTCACGCCAGTGCAATCATTCGAGCAGGCATTCGCGTATATTTTTTTTTGTTATAATATTGTATTAAAATGTACAGTGACGTCATTGCGCCGGAATGTCTCTTGCCTAGGAATATCCGTGAAAATATCGCCATGCAGTTTTTTGTAAAATTTTGTAGATTTTTAGAGCGGTTGAAAACAACGAAAAAAAATATTCGTATTAATTATTTAAAAATCATTGGTTTCATATTTTTTACGATTTAGCACACAATGTGAAGTTTATATTTCACCAACGAACATTTTATTTGATAAAAAAATTTTAATTATGTTCAATATATAATCTAGAAGAATTCAATAATTGCAGAAATAATTCTATATTCCAAGAACTACAGATCGGCATTGTATCGCTATAAAGAATTTAAAAAACGAGATTGTATGATAAAAATATATAATATATCATTGAGCGATAAAGATTGATGTTCCTAGTAAAATGTGCTAGGATGAAAAAGGTTCAAGTGGCGATTACATCGGAAGTCGATCGAGATTCCTTTTGTAGATTCCCGAGTAATGTGCGTATAAAATGGCTCGCGAGATATAATCATAGTTTTTTTATTCTGAACGAATGCAATCGTATCCTTCAGAACATCCAGAAGCTTAAAAAATTAGAAAATCTTCAAACTGCTAGTTAGGGCCATCAACTAGTTTTCAAAACTTCCAAAAATTATTCCAAATTTTTCAAAAATTAGTTTCATATTTTACGGATTTTCAAGCTTCGTTGTTAATCAAATGTTCACTTATTTCTTTCCGCGCCCAAGGACACGAATACGACTCGATGAGCTGGAAATTTCCCAAGATTATATTCCTCTGTCGTAGCTAGTATCAGTGATGTTGAATCAGAAAAGTTTGCTGATAAATTTGTATGATCTTGCGAGTTTGAACACGCGTGAGCTCGGGAGCAATCGATCAGTGGATTCTTCGGGAATACCCGAGAGGGGACTCGAAGAGGTGATTTTATACAGAGGTGAACACGTGGTGGCGCGGGGTGTATCGATATCGTCGACGGCAAAGGCGACGACAACGTCGACAACGGGCGCTCGGAGACGCGATGATGCGAGACGAAGACTTCAGAGCTCATCATGCTTCGGCCCACTGAATTCATCGTGGGAAATGAAGCCGTTCTTGTCCTTATCTTCATGTTGGAAGATCTCCTCGACGAGTTTATCGTGATCGGCTAGCATTTTCTTTACATCTTCATTTTCATTAGCACCGGCTTGCTCAGCCTCTATCACCTGTTTCCGCAGATAATCGCTCACCTGCAAACAAAAAAGGTGACCACGTATCGTTTAACTGAATCGGCTGTATAGAAAATAAACGTAGCTATACGTGTGGCATAGAATATATGGATTTACAAATTAATCAAATTGTTGAGCTTTTAATTTAGCGGAAAGTTTGTTAGGATTGAAATATCTACTAATATATTGTAAATTATTTCTACGAAATATTGCATTTTCTTATCTGTGAATATTTTGAAATTTTACTTCTTAATTATGATATTAAAATAGTTTTGAGTGATTTTTGATTATTGAATTGTGATGAATCGCAACAGGCATACAACTGTAAAATTATTTTTCTTTTTGTTATATACCATGCACTACGTAAGGCGAATAGAAAAATGTAAAAGCTAATAAGATAATAACAAATTTTATCCAAAAGCGCTTATAATATAAATAAATGTAATTAATATTTTATTATTTTTGGTTCAGCTTATATAAAAAAAACAATTTATATAACAAAATATTTACAACACTACTTTTCTACGACCAGCACCACACAAATGGCCCAAATAAAAATAATTTAAAGTGATCTTGCCATTGCTCTCACCTCCTCGCGGGACAATTGATTGTCTTTGTCAGCATCAATCTCTTTAAAGACATTGGCAGTCGGGGGCGAATCGCTAATATTCATGAGTTCAACTTCAAATGTAAGGGTAGCACCTGAAATCAATAATAATCTTTCATTTAATATTAAATTTGCCTAATGTATATAAATTATGAAACATGACAGAAAAACTTTTGTGATTTTTTTTGTTGCTAGACATAATAAATATTAATAATAAATGTAAAATTTAAATTTTGGAATGAAAGTCTTAAATTCTGATAATAAAAGGGATGGGGAGGGATAATAAAAGGGATTTTAATCGATAATATTGATATCGCGCTGTAGTTTGTTAGTTAACATGTACTCGGCTTATACCTATGTATTGTTCTTAAATTCACGTTATCAATATAACTTATAATATCAATATTGTTTAGAATAAATAAATTATAGTAAAAAATTTTCAAATAAAATTCATTTTCAAATTTTGTTCTTTCACGAGTTCTTTTTATATTTACTTATTTTGTTAGAATTAAAATTATTTTGTAAAATTTTCTTATGCTCCGTTAGCTTTTAATATCTTAAATATGGTATAAGATAGGGGAAAGAGAAATATATCCATTTTTTACAAATACTATTAATCACGATTTGGCAAATACTCATAAATCATTTTTAGAGCGCATCGATCTCTAACGCTGTCAGACACAAAGCTTTTTACGCTTTTGGATATATATGAAAAATATGAAAACCATATGCATAGGGTGACAAATCGAAAAAATTGACAAATGTATCTGCATATGCAAAGATATAATAAAAATATTTGTAAGATAAACGAAAATTTAATTATAAGAACAATAGTGATAAATAAAAAAAATAGAAATAAAAAGATAGAAATACTAAAAAAAAATGCAAAATGTATATAAAAGAGAAAATCGAATTGTAACAAAATAGCTGTCATACAAGTTTTATCATACATTAACTTATCCCTTCATTAACTTATTAATTGAATTACTATATCTTTTATATATTACTAAAAATACATTCTTTGACATACATTGAACTGACATTTTAATTTCATTTTTTATTTTAATATCTTCGATAAATATCAATAAAGTGGTACAAGTATTTTGAGATATTGAGATATTTTATCTTTCATCATAATACATATCAAATATCTTTTATATTTCTAATATGATGTTTTAGAAATTAAATTAGAAAGAGAGAAAGAGAGACGTGTGTTAAATATTTTATTTAAAATTTTCGTAAAAAGAAAAACAAAATAATTCAATAAAACATATATAAAATAATAATATAATGGAAATAATCGTTCTAAAATAATAAATAAATTGTACTTCTATCAAAGCAGATATATTTATACTTCGTCAATCATAATAATTGTAATAAAATGCGACAACTTATCCAGATGAGATATTCGATACATTTGGAGATATTAGCAATAGCAAAAAAGTTTATAAAATAGATTATTAAATTTAGAATAATGAAATAACTTAAAAGTAATTATAAGCACATGTACACATGTGCGTGGATATCTGTACACGGCTGAATGATAATAACGCATACGGAAATTCGATCGCCAATAATGGTGCCTATAGATATCCGAAATAACAATGACCAGCAAATTCGGCCGGGGTGGGGCTAACGAAGTGTTCGGTGCGAGAGAGAGAGAATGCATCCGCGCGCTCGGCACGTCCAGCCATTAATTATGGATGGTCCCGTCGCGATTAAGCTGGCCCTAATGAAATATGGCGCTTAATTATTCACTACTTAAACGAGTGAAATTAATACGGCGAATAATAATGCGCCGTCCGGTGTAACAGCCACTGTCGCCGTGGAAATTGGACGTGAGAAATGGAGAGGGATGATAGCATTTTGGGGGGGAGGAGGAATATTCCAATCCTCGCGTTTCCCTCTAGTCTTCTTTATCATCGTATTTCTGGGGGGAATAGACGTTTCAATGGTAATAATTCGCCAAATGATACAAAAATTTAACATGTACATTTAACGTACTATCATGTAGCAAATATGAACCAAGACTAGATTATAGAATTACAATTATATAGCGTTCATAGTACATTCAATATTCAATAACTTTTTCTTGCTTTTTATAGAAATGTTTATGCAAATGTACTAT